AGCCATGGCTCCAGGGACAGCAGAGAACATAGACGCGTTTACATCCCATCTTCACCCAGCAATTTCCTTCTGCTCATCTCAAAGCACCTTGCAAAGGACATAAGTGTCATTATCCTTTTGCAATGTGCCACCTTTTTAAGGATTAGAAGTAGAGAAATACTAAATTCTCTTCCTATTCTTACATGCATTTTATTGAACGAGTAAATTATAATCAAAACAGAAAATACACTCAAAGTATGGTTTGTACTTCTCACAATATACTATTTCTTGCATGAATCATTTCTCAATGCAATATTAAGCAACTGGATTTGATTTGCACAGGAGTCAGGAAATGTGAAGTTCAAAAAATCAAACCCCTAATTCCCACCAAGTTGAAGTCAGTCCTTGCATGTGTATCCGTGACAAGGGATATTTAATTATGTAATCACACAACAGACAGCAAAGTGATTTATTACTGGCAAATGGTGTCATATAATTTCAACATACAATACCAATGGAAGGATCCAAAAAATACAACCAACTTCTGACTGATTTCCCCACTGTGTGCCAGAGTCTAAAAGAAAAGCTGCTACTTTCCTGCTACCTACCCCTGGAGAGGCAAGCTTCTGACAGCAAAATGCCTGACACTTCGGGGATTAAGTGCCTGTGCCTGTATGTTGCTTTCGTCTGGGATAGAGTTAATTTTCTTCATGGTAAATGGTACAGGGCTGTGTTTTGGATTTGTGTTAAACAGAGTGTTGATCATACACTGCAACATTATTGCTGAACAGTGCTTGCACAGAGCCAAGGCTTTTCCTGCTTCTCACACCACCCCAACAGGGAGCAGGATGGGGGTGGGTGCACAAGAAGTTGGGAGGGGACAGCTGACCCGGACAGATGACCCCAACTGACAAAAGGGATATTTCATACCATCTGATGTCTTTCTCTGTATATAAAGTGGAGGGAAGAAGAAAGAAGAGGGGGACATTTGGAGTGGTGACATTTGTCTTGCCAAGTAACCATTTACACTTGAGGGGCCCTGCTCTCCTGAAGATGGTTGAACACCTTCCTGCTCACGGGAAGTGGCGAAAGAATTCCTTGTTTTGCTTTGCTCGTGCACAGATTTTCCTTTACTTTTGCCTTTATTAAACTGTCTTAATCTCAATTCATGAGTTTTCTCACTTTTACCCTTCTGAATCAATCCCCCATCCCACTGCGGGAGAGTGAGCTGGAAGTTGTGTGGGACTGAGTTGCCATCTGGGGTTAAACCACAACAGCCTGTTATCAGTAGGCAAGCACAAACCAAATCATCATTCTGAGTCTCCAAATACACAGCCTTTTCTCACTTTCTCTGCCAGATTAACGTATGGGCTATTCCCAGGCATGCTAGGTTGTCACCTGTGGAAAACACAGAAATAGAAGGTGGCTATAAAATCACTCATTGTTAGTCACACTCTGACAGACAGTGGAAAAACTTGGGATTGAGGGGACCTAAGTCTGTACAGCCCATCTTCTAGATCTATTCTCTAATGTCCATATTACAGCTGATTTCCAAGCCAAGAGATCACAGATTCTTTCTTCACATTGTATATAATGCACTTTGGCAAAGCCTCTGGCAGAGGAGTTGGAGCTCAAGTCTTCCTCACTCCTACAAGCAGACTCTCTAACTAGGTTTCTAAAATCATGTGCCCATCTGCTACTACAGTGGAAGTGAGAAATGCTTGTACCATGCTTGCATTGCTGTATGTATATATACCTTGCCTGAGAACAAAATGAACGTTTATTAATGTATTAAATGAGAAAAGTGGGAATTGATTTCAGAGGAAATTGGGGAATTTCCTATACAAGCCGGATATGAAGCAAATCCTCAAATCAGAGCACTCTAACACTACAAGGAACACTGGGAGTTTGGGTATTTTAATCTGTATTCAGAGATCAGATGGGATTAGCACTGCAAAAATCTCTCTCTACAGAATACTGCTCTGAAGCCTTGAGACGCCTTAATGACTATGTCATTTTTGTGACAATGCAAATTGTTTATTTTCCTTGTCTCGCTCAGAAGCATAATACACACACCAAGGACATGAGAAAGGCAGGTTCAAAGTCTTTCCCATCAGAAGATTTCTAAACTTTCATCAGCCACCTCTCACTAAGACTGATTATGATTAAGTCATTCATATTCAAAGAAAAATGCCATCCAAGTACATAAAACTTGGGGGTTTATTTTTTCCTTGACTAGTGTGATTTTTGAATACTTGTTTTTCCTGGATTAAACCCAGCACATTTAAAGGGCTACCAGCAAGCCAGAAATTGGATACATGTGCACTCAAAAGTCCTTTGATTTCATCCCAGATGTGCAGTGCTCAAGGGTGTATACACATAGGCGTGCGCACACACACACACACACACACACACACACACACACACACAGAGTATAGAGGACACGATCTGGTCTGTAGATTTTGTTTCAAGATTATATGTTTCAAGCAGACTGTGAAATGTAAAACTGAAGCCCTGACCACTTACAGCCATTAGAGATCCCAGGGCTCTTTGTGAAAGAGTATTGATGTTCATTAGCCTATTGGCCTAACTCAAGAATTCAATGCAGGTAATTAGACATTGTCTCATTACCACGCAGTTTCAGGTGAAGTTATTTTTCTACTTCGTTTCTTAAGCTAAGTGATTCCTGAAACATTTTTAAAGCATTCATGGATTCTTTTTTTTTTTTTTTTAAGAAATTACTAGAATATGAAGTACAGTAGAGGGACATAAAAAATGAGAGTGTTCTTTCATATATTTATTCATATTAGGGTTATTTCATATATTTAAAAAGCTTTATTTTATCATCTAACCCAAAAGAATGAAACTAGCATTTTAATTCAGCAGATAGCTTTCAGTTGTTTAGCTATGAAAACATAGTGACTAGTGGCTTTTTAAATACATACACTCAGGTATGGTATGTAGTATACAGACATAAACTGTGAAGAGTGTGAAAAGGTTCACTTAGTGTCAAGTTTCACTGTTATAAAATAAATATATTCTATGCTGAGAGTTATCTGAATGGATATCACAAATATTCAGCATTGAACATATCAATGTTGATACGTACTGTCCTTTTACACCCTCATGTAAGGTCCCTTATGCCTTATGCCCACCTTTCCCCATATTGTCCCCAGCTCCATCCCTCAGGCTGCTGCCTTCCACTGTGCCCCCTTTGTTCTTCACCTGCAACGCCATCCCTTCATTCACAGGCAGCTCAAGTTGCTGCCTTGTTTTTCACCACCTCACATATATCATCTGCTTTCAAACAGCCGTATCTTGGATCAGGCGCATTGAATTTCAAAGCCACTTGAGGCTCCAAGAACACCAACATCTCAACCTCCTACCAGATACCAGCTAGCCACTCTATCGGTGCCACAAGGTCTTTTAATACACTTTAGTAGATCTACAGTGTGAAATAGGATATGAAAAATGAAGCCCTCAACTATTATTTTTTATTGGAATTGGTGATTTACACTAATAGGCTTTACACTGTGTTTGAAAGTGCTAGGTATGCATCCCCACATACTCCCAGCGGCTCAGCCGACAAGCAATGACTTACTGAAATGCAATGTATTGGCAGCTTACTCTCTTGCACATGGCATTCTTACTCTTCAGCAATACTGCTTTTCAGAGCAACATGTTAGAGCAAACCAAAAAAACAACCTTTCCCAGGGAAGGAAATGATGCAGTCTGCTTTGTAAGACACGGACTCATCCTGCCATTTCTGGACAGCTGGATTTGTCTTTCCTATATCATGTACCACAGGATACAGAACAAATTTGCACAGGTCAGAGGCCTGGCTAGACCCACAGTTGCGGTGGTTGTCACACAAGGAGGATTTCCTTTCCAGCACCAAGTGACAGGTACAGCGTATCCTGCCTTGCTTGATTGTGGACTCTTGCCTGTCCCTTCTGCCCAGTGGAAAGAGAGCAGAAATAAATGCCTAAGGGAAAATTCCTGGCAGAGGTGACCTGACTGGGGATAGATGGACAGAGGGTCCATGCAGCACCCTGCACCCTGAGAGAGGTAGAAAGTCATGTGTCGGGTGAGCATCCCAATGCTGGGTGATGCTAGAACCAGACACCTCTCCATATACCAGAAGCAGCTGCCAGCATCACAGGAACAGGTAATTCCTGCATGCCACTTATCAGTCTGCACTCACTGTCCTTCACAGCATGAATGAGCCTTCCTAAAAGCACAACAGGGATCTGGCTGCTCCTGCTATTACCTTATCTTCCTTTTTTTTTTTTTAATATTTCTTGTGTGTTTCTACTGAGTGAGGGAGAAAGGCATAAATACTATCTTGTTTAACACATCTTCCTGTCTCCTCTCTCTGCCTTGCAGACAGCATTATCCATCTTCCTGACACCACCATTGTCTGATTCATTTGACATATGCACCAGGAAAAATGTCATGTTCTGAACAAGAACATAACACTGTGATCTCATTCCCATCTCAGACTCCACAGCATCTCCCATTTCTTACTGCTTTGGAAAGAGAAGGACTGGGAAGCTTTTCCATGTTGCTTCCAGGGAAACTTAGAGAGGAGATGTGGTGATGAGAAACCAGGTCAGCAAAGGCACACAAGCACTTACACAAGCACATTGGAAATCAAGGTAATTCCATAGAAAGTTCAATTATCTACCTCTCACATAGAGTCTGAAGTAGCAAAATCTTTCTCATCTCCTGTTACTTAGGGCTGCTGAGGGACCCTATATAGATATGTATTATTTCCATAAGGGAACATTAAGATAGGATGCCAGGGACATTCTGACTGTATTATGAAAATCACTGTCCCATTCTGTCTCATCATTTTCCTCTCTTTTGAAACAAAAAGCCTCAGGTACTATCCACCTCTGTGTCATTAAGGGTTATGGTGAAGTTCCCCCTTTTGTCTGGCATGCAGCAAGTCAATGAAAGGCTTCCTGATGTCTTATCTCATAGAATCATAGAACCATAGAACAGTGTGAGTTGGAAGGGACCTTCAAAGGTTGCCTAGTCCAACCTCCCTGCAACAAGCAAGAACATCTTAAATTAGATCAGGTTGCTCAAAGCCCCATCCAACATGACCTTGAATATCTCCTGGGATGTGGCATCTACCTCCTCTCTGGGCAACCTCTTCTGGTGTTTCACCACTCTCATTGTAAAAAAATCTTCTTTAAATTTTCTTCCTTCTATCTAGTCTAAATCTACCCTTTTTCAGTTTTAAACCATTACTTCTTGTCCTGTCACAACAGGTCCTGCTAAAACGTTTATTCTCATCTTTCTTGGAGGCCAGTTTAATTACAGGAAGGCTGCAATAAGGTCTTCCCAGATCCTTTTCTTCTCCAGGCTGAACAGCTCCATCTCTCTTAGCCTGTTTTCATAGGAGAGGTGTTACAGCCCCCTTAACATCTTTGTGGCCTTTGTCTGGACCCACTCCAATAGGTCCGTGTCTTTCCTGTGCTGAGAACCCCAGAGCTGGACACAGTACTTCAGGTGGGGTCTCACGAGAGCAGACTAGAGGGGCAGAATTCTCTCCCTTGACCTGGTGGCCACGCTGCTTTCGATGCAGCCCAGGATACAGTTGCAGTGAGTGCACATTGCCATGTCATGTTCAGTTTTTCATTCACCAGTACCCCTAAGTCCTTCTTGGCAGAGCTGTTCTCAATCCCTTCAGCACCCAGCCTGTACCGATACTGAGGGTTGCCCCAACCCAGTTACAGGACCTTGCACTTGGCCTTGTTGAACCTCATGATGTTCTCATGGGCCAACTTGTCAAGCTTGTCCTGGTTCCCCTGGATGGCATTCTGTCCCTCAGATGCATCAACTGCACCACTCTGCTTGGTGCCATCTGCAAACTTGAGAGTGCACTTGATCCCACTGTCTGTGTCACAGCTGAAAATACTAAACAGGATCCCTTCCTGTTTGATATCACCCCTCACTGCCCCTCATGTGTGGCTTCTGTCTCAGCCACAGGAGGTCACAATAAGAGACTGCTGTGCACTGGTAGCTGAGACATAGGCAGTCTTGCCCCAGACAGTTGCCTCTGTCCCAATTTCCTAGGGAGCCACAGGAACGTCTGCATCCGACCTCTGCCTACAGCCTTAATAACCCATTAGAAGCCTGGCTAAATTAATGACTTTCTCACTGTTACTTTGGAGATCTGCCAAAGGAGAAAAGACAAGGGGCAAGGAGGGTGGAGGCAAACCAAATTGGGTGCTTGGGTGGATGTGAGAAGGGGAAAGGGAAGAGAAGAGCTGGAGAGGAAATGTTGAGGCAGCTAATTTTTTCATTTTTTTCCCCTGCAGTTAAAGCATTGACAGATAATTTATCACACATTTTGATGGTGCTCCAGTTGGCAGGGAAAAGAGCTATCTGTTTATTAATTCAATTAGCCTGCTTATTTATCAGCAGAGGGCGAGAAGGTGCAGTCACAGGCCAAACTGTGCCAGTCTCAGACCGCCTGCTGTCGGGATGAGAGGATGACTAGGAGTGGAACATCCCGCCCCCACTGTTCTGGCCAGTGCACTCATCACTGCATTATCTCAGGCCTTCTGAGGTAAGAAAAGAAAAAACTAAAATAAAAAATATAGCAGCATACATTATGCACACCAGTTAATGTTCAAGGCAGGCTTACAACCAACCAGAGCCACACAGCTTGGCTGCCACCAGTTCTGTGCCCTAAAAGTATTAGTTATGTCTGACACTCTGCCCAGAACGGAATTTTTTAATTGATTAAAATAGTTGAATCCACTTTGAGTTTTGAGTTCAATGGCAATAGTGTTCAAACCAGCACATTAATATGTCACAGGGCTGCTGGAGGGGGTAGAGGAAGGCAAGGAGGGTGCTGCCCAGCTACCTACCAACACTTGTCATATTTGAAAAAGGGATATTTGTGGGGGGAGGAAGAAAACAGGAGGGAAAAAGACTGGCCTTGCAATGGCAGAGAAATGCCCTGAGTTAGGAGGGATGTGAGAGTGGTGAGGTCACTTCCTTGCTTTGCCTATGTGGGACTACTGGTTTTCTTTGTCAGAAGTCTCAGACTTCTGATGGCTGAAGCTCCAAATGCAAAAAATGTTGTGCAAAATGCTTCATGGGGCTATCTGACCTGAAGTTTTTCTGAAAACATAAAATATGTGGAAAGTCCATCATGCTGGAGTGTGATTTCCCTATAGCCAAAAAAAATCCCTCAGCCCTAGGACCCGAGGACCATCATTTCTATGTGATTCCAGTGCTGTCATAAACAATGTTTATTTTTCTCTTGCTGCTTCTATAAGCCAACCAGCTTCCTTTTCTATCATACATAAACACAGTTGCAATATAGTTGTACTGGCTTCCAGTTTAGTTCATAAAAAACACGTGTGGCTTCCTGCTCATGCAAACAAGTTCTGCAGTGCTTTGACTTAAAAATGAGGCTCCTTGTGAAAAGGTTAAGACACAAATGCTCTCAAATGCTCTTTCCTTACTCCTCTCATTTTGTTCCTCTACCACTGAATGTTTAAAGAAATTTTGCATATTTTAATTCTTCTTCTTCTTCTTTAAGTTTCTTTAGACTTATTCTTCTGCCTTTTGAATTCTTGTAGGATGGTTCAAGGCAGGACACTGTGTCTAATTAGGATGGCAGTGAATGTTTCTACTGCAAATAAGCCCAAAGCAGCCTTTAATCAAAGCTGGACAGATGATTCCACTACCACTGATAGTTTAGACCACCTATCAACATTTTATAAATTCTTAATTTTCTCACTGCAACCATATTGAACAGTTTTGTGCAAATGAGGCTTATAATTATCCAGATAAATCAGTCCGATGCAGTATTTCTTAGGATCTTTCTCAATTTTCTCCCTGGAGGATGGGATCCCATCTGCTTTGCTACATTCAGGCTAATTGAAGGGCACTGACTTTTCCAAATGGATTCATTAATTACTCTCTCCAGATTCTCTGTGGGGTTACTCATTCAACGGGTGACACTCAGGCTGTACTATACCATCCACCCTTGTTTAGCAACATTGCTCTGACTCTCAGCTATGAGCTAAAACATTTGCAGATGCGTTGGCAGGAATGGTTCTGGCCTTTAACTGTACAGTGTTACAAAACAAATGTAATTCTGCTTCTCTTTTGCTTCTAATTTAGTATGCATTCAGAATCTATAAATATTGTAACCATGACTGTTTCAGTATGTTTTACTCCTTGCCATCACAGATATAAGCCACTGCCCCAAAGAAAAAACCCCATAACTTTATAGGTATTGTATTGCATACAACAGCAGAAGAAGAGAAACAAGAAAATCTTCTATGTATACCAGCATAATGTGAAATTAAACTATTAAATTTAAATGCAAAGCTATCCTATACAGTTCTGGGCTTGTGTTGGTTTTATTTAGTACAGCAGCAGCCTGGATTTTCAATAAACTCACATGTAATTATATTGCTCACTCAAACATCAGGAAGACACCAAAGGAAAATAAAGACCCATCTAGCAAAGACCTAACCTAGGAGAGGATTACCACCACTTAGGTGGTAGCCATCTTCATACAGGAGCAGGCAGAAGGGAGCCAGCAATCACTGAGTCTGGCTTTGCTGAAAGCTTCATCAGTGTTCCCCAATAGCAGGCACAATTTCATGCTACTTAAAATATTTTATATTCTGAGCTGTTGATTGGTTCATTCAGATCTATGAGGCAACTGGCCTGGGAATCGGTGACACAATCTGCTGTGATTGAACAACAAGCCTTCATGCTTTCCAGGAATCCCAAAGCATTTTGTAAGCATCAGACCCAACTTGCCAGGCCTCTCTGCATAGGTCCATGCTGCTGCACCTCACACTTCTTGAAAGATGAAAGCAATGTTACTAAACATGGTGGGAGACCCACTTTACCGATCAGTGAACTAAAAACTCTTAGATTGCCCCAGTTTCAGAGAAACCCTTAGTGGCAGAACCAGAACCACAGTCCAAGAGCTGACTTGCTCACAAACAGGTAACAGTAGTGGTCCTTTTCACTCTTTCCTGCTGATGGTATTGTGAGTCCCCAGGATGCAATAAGGATCTACTTTCTTGTGCTTTATTAGAGACAATAACTCTAGGAATAGACAATGAAAAAACTATATATATATATAACATCTAACTGTGTGGTTGCTTTGGGCAGTTAATGTCATGAAACCAAAACTCATCTAACAAATCAGTGAATGTATAATGCTTCTCATATAATGCATCAAAGACCTAATTATTCAGATAAATAGATCATGTACATAGGGTTGTAGGTAGAACTATGGGCATGTATGTAGGGATGTATGCACTTTGCTCTACAGTTTAAGAAATAATTTCTTTTCTCTGATATCCTTTCCCTCTTAGCTCAGCAGTTGTGCTTCCTCAAAGCTCTGACCAAGATGACCTCAATAAAGGAGTTTCTTTTCTTGGGACAGAAGAGTTCTCTCTCACAACTTTTCCCTCTGAATGCCACTTTATCTCTTCTAAATGAGGTACCCTTGGTCCTTCAGCAGCTAATAAATTCAGTCCTCACAGGCCAGCACAGCAAGCTATGCACCTTCAAAGAGGAAGTCTGAAGCAACTCCATCATCACCTGGCAGGACAGTTATTCTGTATTTGAGAGGCTGCCTATTTGATTTTTTTTCTCTTTTCATTTTGTTTGTGTGTCATCTCTCCCTGGTTTATAACAACTGTTCAGCCATCAAAAAGCAGTTCACAAGTTGTTCCCAAAGAAAAGTAAAGCTAAGGAGCCCATATCTTTTGCTGCTTATTTGTTTTTTTTCTGTAGAGCCAGTGCTGGCAGATGAAGTGTGGCAGACAGGTGGGCAGGGCAGGTGGGCAGGCAGGCAGCCCCCCTCCCCTCCCCTTCCCTCCCAGCTGGATGGTGGCTGGCCTGGGGGCTGCAGGGGAGTTACGCTGGTGTGTGTCATCTGAGAACCTGAACACATCCCTCCATCCGAGTCCATGCCAGCACTGCCAATTAACATTGCATCTGGTTGTGTTTGAGTTGTCAGAAGCCAGCCAGAGACTTTTTTTGGGAGGTTTATACATTTTATCACCTTTATGACAATGAAAATCTATAGCTCGAGTACTCCAGGTCTTAAGGGACCCGTGTGTCCAGGACCTATGAATCACAAGGAACGTTTTGCAGCAAAAAGGACACTCGGTGTGTTTTGCAGTGTGAGAAATCAGTCTAGACATTACTAGCTTTTAAAAAACAATGTTGAAAGCAGCCCACTAAAATTTTTCTGAGTTATTTCTAAAAAAAAATGCAAAACCAGGTCCACATGCTCAAATGAACTTGATCACAAGCCCAAGACAGTGAGCTAGTCTCATCCCCAGCTGCAGTAGTGCTACACCTTTTTCATCTTGAGCCGAGGAATATGACATATTATATACACTAGTGAATTGTAAAGTAGTTAATTTTCTGTGCAGCTGACAGGAGTGATCGATTGGGCTCACTCCTTACAAGAGCCTCACCTTCTCCCTTCTCCGTCTCGTCTCCTACATCCCTGCTTCAGAAATGGCTCAGACCACAACATCCATCAAGTCATATACACTGTTTTAGTGAAGAGCTTCACAGGACAGCAAACAGGGCTTCGTGTTTGCTCTGTATTTAAGTATGACGGTCAGTTTTGCCCTGCACATTTCCGAATCAAACCATAAGATTATTTCTTATCACAAGCGCTTTTGTGTTGCTTGAAGAACTGCATTGCTATTTTATTTCATAGTATATTTGAGGTGGAAGGGAAAATGTAATGGGATACAGTGGCAGTGAAAACTGCTTGCAAGTTGTTTTAAATTTTTCCTAATTCTTTCCCATCAATTTTATGAGCATCTTTTTCCTGTTACAATAGCATTCTGAAATATTTTAGTAGGATTAAGAGACAACTTCTGTAATTTAATATTTTTACTTTTTAATAATTATATTAATTTCACCAGTCTTGAAAGTCCATACTTAGAAAAGGATATTTTTTTCCATTATCTTCTTCTGATTGAAAACCATTGAGGCACAGATGAATGTGTCTTTCTGACCTTAAAATCATTATATTTTGAGTAAGAAGTGATTTTACTGAAAGCAACATGCATCTGACAAGATTTTCCTGCAAAAGGAAAAAATGCTTTATTTTAGAAGTGTTTCATAAACTGATACATGCTTAGGTAGACCAAATTATGTCCACTTAAATCAGACATATACTGTTTTAAACTAGACTTTGACAAATCTCAGTAGCTGCTTCCAGAAGGTAGTATTATCAGCCATGTTGATTTAAGAATAAAACTCATATTTGTCCATATACTAGACATCCTGTGATTTATTTTTCTTTGGTCTCTTCCTCCTTTTGATTCTGGAAGTTTAAACTAGTGGAAAATAAGTAAGAATATCCTTTGAATTAACAAAATCTTTGCCCAGTGTCAAACTTCACATCCAGCGTTACAGCTTCTCTGCAGTGCAGTGTCTGACATGAGTCCTACTTTCTTCAAGAGTTGTTTCTCTCACACTGTGTCAAAATAGGGTAAATTAAATATACCACAGCAGAGATACTGGAAGAATTCACTTCACGTATGCAGTTGTTGCCGTGGGACAGCTGAGTAAACAGCTTGCAAAAGTCTGTTTGAAGACTGCCAGCTAGTTACACCCATAATTTCATCTCTGTTAACAAAAACAACTCAAACTGTCGCAATGCCCCAAGTTGATTACTGAGCATCTAAATTATAGAGTGTTGCTTAAGTAACCCTCTGCAGCAGTAGGGGCTATGTTTTGATACTTGTTCAATACTTCAAACCTTGCTGATAAGTAGAATATCCACCAAAACCAGCAAATGCATATGAAAAGATACAGAGAGGCTTTGGCAATATTATCCCATGACTGACAGAAAAATAGTTGTGTAATACTGTTAAAATCAGTGAGTCAGAATAACAAGTCTTATAAATATGTCCTTCTGAGCTGGATATAGAACAATCCAGGGAGTGAGAGTGATCTGTGAGAGAGGGGAAAATCCAGAGTAACTGTTCTTGCAAATAATGCCATCGTCACATTCAAATAGCTGATGTTTCTGATGTAGCGCTCAACATCAGGTAGTCAACAAATATACCTGCACTGGTTTACTAAATTTCAAAGTGCTGTACCGACAAAAGCCTTAAGAATGCTTGGGCTATGACACCAGAACTAGAATGGAACATAACAGTTCACTGGTGACCCTCTTACTGGAAGTCAGAGAGTCCTTCACTGAGACTATCCAAGTGAGTTATTCCACACTAAAATAGTGAGCAAACCCTGTAAGAAAGCTTGTGTGAGGACTCTGTAGATTCACAGCATACTTCAAACTTAGGTCTGTTGATTCTGCTTGGTGAGAAAAGACTTCACTAATGCAGTGTCACATTAAATTAGAGAATCAGAAATTTGGACTGAGGGAACCCAAATTTTTGTCTGAGGAAAAAATATGATGGCTATTGTGCAATACAGCAAAATATACATGTACTGTAGTACATTTAGGCATATTATTACATTTAAGCACCCGCACTAGAATACATTGACATTCATTACTGTGAATGTATCAAGTCTTTTGTATCACATAAAAAACCGTGGAACTGCAAATATAGCATGAGCCATATGCTGGGAATCCCTGTTTCCAATTATGTTAACACAGCTTTAGCACAAGCAATCCACACCTCAGCAAAATCTGAATGACCATCACTCTCAATATCTGTATCAATTTCCAGTTCTTTTGATGAATTGCTATTATAAAAATATGTATTTTTAATTGTACTGAGTTTGACAAAATTTTTAACTGCAAAACACCTGGCAAGATGGATGAAGACTTCAGACAAAGACTTAAAAATTATCAAAGAAACATGCTCCCTCCTGTTCAAATTTGTCTTTCCACATTGTCTTAACATATTAAGAAATCTTAACACATTAAACAAAAATTGTGCAATAATTTTAGAGATTAATGACAAGAGTGGGAGAAGACAATGACTTTTCTTTGAGAAATTACCTGGAGGCACTTTGCCTCCAGTCTCCAATTAAAAAGAAACCACAGAACGCCTTTTATCTTCCCCGATTCAACTTCTTCCTCAAAATACTGTGCTAAAGCAGTATGCTGAACAAAAAAAACCCCAGAAATGAACTAGATAACACAAGCAATCTGGGTAAGAGGCTTTGTGTAGTCCACAGAGTTTGAGCATAATTGTGCTTATTTCACAAAAGCTATGCCTGTGTGCATTACTCTGAATTTTACAGACCATATACGTGAGGTGTGGTGAACTGAACAGAATTATGTATGCCCCTGTATGTACCACTGCTACCAAAGCCAACTTTTTCAGTTAGGTTATGATTCTCCAGTACAGATGACCCATGCAAGCCCAAGCCCAGTACAAAGTGCCAGCAAGCATCCCAGAAATTCCACTGTTCATACCAGTGAGTTTATATGCATTTTGCAGGTCACCTCGCACATCGCTCTGATGTGGTTTTGCATTAGCAGGAGGACAGTGAGAGATGAGATTGCAAATGATGATTGTGGTATTTAGGACGGTGAAGGAGAATGTTTTGTTAAATTTGCATTGTCAGTGATTGTGCAGAGAGATTACAGAGGCAAATTGCCGCACATGTGTCTGACAGTAGTTGACGTGAATCTTTCCCTTCAAGCTTTTACCGACTGGACTAAAGACCGTACATTTGCTCACACACCCGCGTGGGTGTGCCTTTTTCATTGCACTCCCTCTCATTTGCCCACCTATAAAATCCTCCTGTGTGCCCCTATTCGGCCCCTCACAGGTCCTTGGGCACAGCTCCCACCATCTCAGCGTCTCACTCTGCAGCCTCTGCAAAGCGGTTCAAGGTCACTAGGTGGACAACAAACTGCAAGCACAGTATGTTATTGCTACCATGGCATTTCAAGTGGAAATATCTGCGAGGTTCTTCACAAACCCAAAATTTCCATAAGGTTCACTTCCAAGCAAGTATAGAGTATACGGATGGAGAATGAAAACAACGGGGGCGCTTGGTAACATTTATAGTTGTGAAGGCAGCAGCTGAGTGAGAGCTCAAAGAGTTGGCACAGGATCCCCTCCTCCTCCAGCCTAGCAAGGAAAAGACATTACTGGAACCAGGGGGAGAAGGCGGGGATCTAACACTGTGGAGGAGCTCAGTGCTTGAAGAATTACGAACATGCCACCCATCAAGGGCAGGACTCTGCTGTTGGACACAGGGACTGCAGTGAGTGAAACGATTAACCAAAGTTACAAAATATGGAAAATAAGGCACCAAAAAGCTGTGACCAACCCACTCAAACCCAAAGTTACAAAATATGGAAAATAAGGCACCAAAAAGCTGTGACCAACCCACTCAAACCCAAAGTTACAAAATATGGAAAATAAGGCACCAAAAAGCTGTGACCAACCCACTCAAACCCATATGTGAAAGCATAAATCAAACTCTAATGGCCCAGCAAATTTGGAGTTGGTACTAAAACATTTCATGTAGTGCCAGCTAAAAGCTTTTCTTCTCTCTTTTGGGTTAACTTTGTTTTTTCAGGTCTTTGCCACAAAAGAAAAGCCTTAAAAATACATGTATGCATTATTATGTACATGTGAAATACATACTGCATATTTTTGTGTAA